TTATGGTTTCTAAAACGTTCCTGAATTCCTTTCTTCCCATGAAGTTGAAATATCCATTATTGTCAATAGTAAATCTTTCTATTGGCTTTTTTCGGCCAAGGTATAGAAACGGCAATGGAAAAAGATTTTTTGGATTCGAATAATATTCAAGTTCATCAGAAAGTTTCATTATCTTCTCCTTGAATGTATGGGCAGTAGAAATTATGTTCGGATCTAATAAATATCCGTGTATGTTAAAACGATAATGTTTAGACTTAGTTGAACCCCAAAGATTACACACCTGCTAGTTTCGCTCTTTTACTAATTTGACATTCGTCCGAATCTTCCAGTGGTTGTTTTCCTTTTCCAGACCGAATAAAAAAATAAAGGAAGTGAGATAACGCGAAATTCTTGTTCGAGAGGTAAACTATTGGGAGACACTTACCAGCGGTGGTGGGCGGAAGCAGTTGCACCAATATATGAATGTTATTATCTGAAGGTCTGTCTCTTTGAAAAATTTCTTGAACCTTCTTAGTCATATCCAATTTATTACCTTCAAAGTCTTGTGTAATGTTAATCTCAGTATTAATAAATGAAACGCAATTTGTTCTTTACCTTTTTCGTTATATTCTGTTAATTTTTTTGCAAGTATTACACTTTCTCTCCCCAATCATTTTTTTCTTTCATTAATTATTCATTTTTTTCCAGCCTTCTCTTCTCCTGTTTCTCATCTTCACAAATGTCGTTTGTTCTCGCCTTTCCCCTCAACTTTGTCAGCCATGTTTCATCCTCCCCCTCTTCGAATTCCTTCAATTTCCACTTTGCTTCTTCGTGGTTTCTGTTTAGTTGGTTTTTAATTTCTTCGTATATTGCCATTATGTAAAAAAAAATGATTTGGCAGCGTTCTGAATTTAGATCACAGAATCACGTGAAATTCTTAAGATCAAATCAATATTTCGATCTAAAAAAAAAATTTTTTTTTTTTGATTTATAATATGACAACTGTTGATAAAATTGAAAAGGAACTAGAGGAGGCTAGGAATGAGTATAGAAAGGCAGAAACAGAATTGGAGAAGTGGAAAGAAAAGTGGGGAGAGAGATTGGATGGCTTGAAAAGGGAAAGAGTGAAGGAAGAATATGAAGATGAGAAGGATGATTTAAAGCGAGAAAAAGAGACGTTGGAGAAGAAGGAAGATG